GAAATTAGTAGTCACGAAACAGTAAAACCAACTACAAATAATACAATTTCAAGGACCATTGTTAAAGAGGACATTGAGAAACTCCGAGCTCTTGGCCCAAGTCTCACTCAAGAAATAAAAAATGATGAAAATATAGTTATATTTCTTAATCAGTCTTCTCGAGATCGATCAAATGCGGAAATTGAAATCACCGACAAACCAGGTGAAATATTACACCCGACTTTGAAATCGAGACACTCCTATGAGAATCCAATCACTGAAACACCATCTATGCCGTCAGAGTCATCTTCTTCCAATTCAAATGAAGATATGGAATCCTCTCTTGTAGGTGTTATAGAAACAGCCCCAATAAAAAAACAGACTCAGCTTGAGCAAACGAATATAAATAGAGCAGATATTAAGTATACTTTCGTCGCCAATGGTAGAGAAGTATCTTTAGATATGCGTCGCGTTAATATTGCCACCATGGTGCTGGCTGGAATCGGAATAATACCTCTTTGTGCACTTACCCTTTATCTTGTGCGATCATACATATTTCGTCGCACCGTTAAAATTGAGGAAGATTTCGATGTATGCATTGGTGACCAACAGCCTATTAGTCCTGTAAAGAAACTTGACTCGAAGTTTCAAAACAAGATCGAAAAGGAAAACTATGAAATCGACCATCACCGATCCGATCATCCTAAGGCAATTAACAAAGTTACCTCTCGGAAAACAAATGAGGACATGCGATTTGACGAACAATGCTCAGTGACTAGTGAGCAAGAATTTGATCGTAGCAATATTCGCCTAAAGAGTCTACTAGGTGAGGGTAACTTTGGTCAAGTGTGGAAAGCTGAGGCAGATAATCTTAGCGGCCATTTTGGAGGTACACGTATTGTTGCCGTTAAAACGATCCGGAAATTCAATCCTCAATCCAGTTTGAAAGAAGAAGCAGACATTATGCGAAAACTGGGTTCACATCAAAATGTTGTGACCCTGCTTGGCGTCTGCTTAGAAATTGGTTAGTGTCGTTAAAGGTTTCCCTTTTATATATCGATATATTTGTAAATATTCGGCCATGAGCCACGAATTGACATGAAGTAGTGGTATATGAATGATATAATGACTACTTTTTACTAATTAAATATTTATTTTAGAGCCACACATGCTAATTATGGAGTATGCAATGCGTGGACGATTGTTGTCATTACTGCGCGCTGCGCGTAGTGCTGTAAATATTTTACCAGCCTCTGTGCCTGGTGGTCGCAGTTCTACACCTCTGTCACCACGAACGCTAGGTGTATTTGCATTGGACATTGCTTGTGGAATGGAGTACATTGCTGAAAAAAGGGTAAATAAAGTGACAATACATACTTTTATTTTTAATAGAAAATATGATCTTACATATACTGAATTTAGCCTTTAACCTTCATTAAAGATTGTACATCGTGACCTTGCGGCACGCAACGTCCTTCTGGATCATAATGGTGTTTGTAAAATTTGTGATTTTGGAATGTCAATTGATTTAGATGGTGAATATAAGCAGCAAGAGGTTGACCTAAAGAGTGCTAACAAAATAATAAGTAGCAATACGAAGAGAAAGTTAGATTTCGGCAGTCGTTTCATTATAAACCATTGGAATAATAACTTTAATACAAATCAAATCTCGACAAAAGATGCTATTGAAAAAAAAACCCATACTCATGATCACAGTCATGCTCATGATTCGATGAGTCGCAGGCCTGCATTACCAATACGATGGATGGCACCAGAAGCGTTACAATATCATATTTTTACGCACGAGACTGATGTATGGGCTTTTGGCATAGTATTGTGGGAAATATCTACATTAGGTAAGAGATTCATAGAAAAGGTTACTAGTTACTATAATACATATATATAATGAAAATATTTATACATTCTTTCAGGATCTACGCCATATGCCAATCTAACAGGACGCGAAGTTATCCGACGAGTTCCAAATGGTCTTAGGCCAGAGTTGCCAAAGGAATCGCGTTTAGAATTTTACAATTTAATGACTCGATGTTGGCATAAGGATTGCCATTTACGACCTTCGTTTTCATATGCGAGACAAGAAATATCTCGTTCTCTCCACAAATGGGAGGAGGATGACTCGGCAGAATCGGACTATATGGATGTTAGCGGATTTAGTGAAGATATGGAACATGGCATGGTTTATTTCAATCAACGAATATCCGAGTTTGAATGCGAAATATGACTATGACTGAAACCTACCACTTTTAACATATAATATCTTCCAATAATTCCAAGTGTCTGTGGCTTACCATATTATGTTAATAACTTTACAGTAAACTTAATCCAAATTATCTCCTGATATCAAGAAGTGCTAGCAGCAGTATTATTTACATTATATCCATTTACAGGAATTAGAAGTGGAATTGATACATACATATGTATATAGGAACATATATTAGTATATATGTATATAGTATAGTTTAGTTTTATGAATATAAAAATCTATACTTAAAAACTTAACAAACTCCACACAATGTACATATTAAGATTTTAAATTGTTATTTATAAATAAACGACAGTCGTAATCTCAAAAACATTTAATTGTATATAAGTAAACATGCATAAGCTAAGATCATTTAATTAGATTTTCTTCTAGTCTCTAGAAAATTATGATTTGTTTAGAATATTATAACTAATAATGAAGATAATATGCTGCAGAGGAATCTTCAATACCTTCTTTCCCATGAATGAAATATATCATACTAAACAGAATATCATAACATCAAAGAATGTTAACCTTTCTAATAAATTGAAATGTAATATTAATAAAAAATAAACCATAAAATCCGTAATTTTTTTATACAAAATGTTGTTAAAATAATCTCAAATTTGAACGTTTCACCTTATCTTACTAAATGACCAATACTGATTAAAATATAATACCTTTTTGAACACAAGCAAAGCATCAAAAAAATTACCAAATTTTTATGAAAAATTTAAATCGGATTCATTATGTTATAGGAGACGCCGTTCACGCTTCGCTGCGGATGTGGTATACTTTAATTATTAACTATTGAACAGTAAAATTGCATTTATGAATAAAAACGAAAACGTTATTCCCGGTGTAAGATTAACCCCGTGGATTACTTCCAAATTTCAAAAGAGTTAATACTAATTTTCTTCGATTTGTTATTGTGCACAAATAAACATAAAATACTTATCATTGTACTACATGTGGTAATACATGTTGATTTTTTATTTTGTTAATTTTATATTGTAGAAGTCATTAATTTTTAAAGTTGTTAATTGATAATACTTGTGATAATAAAAGAGGGTAGATCATTTTTAATTTTTAACAATAATGTTAATAGTTTTTTAATAAACGTTTTCAAATTCATATCAAATCGGCAAGAGGTAAGAGGACATTTCTCCATTAAAATTTCCAGTCGAAATGGTTGCTACAATAATATTTCCCGCAATCTTTTTGATTACCAAATGTGGGCCGTTGCATAATTGAGTTGGATTGAAATTACACTGAATAATAATAATTGAACAATTCTCAACCGAAGGTTATATAGTACGATATCCCGGATATATCTATCTATCGAATGATTTAAAATACACTCATTTACTAGAGGAGAACTGTCAATTGTTAATTAATTTCTTCAACTTCTACATAATGTAGCCCGATTATTGATCGAGTTGTGATCCAAATAAATAGTTTTTACTTTCGGGAATTTACTTTCACTTAATGAAGTTTTTTTCATGATGCTCTGCATATTTGGTTGTAGTTCTATTCTGGCATTCCCAATATATAGAAATTGTAAAGGGTCAATAAGAGCGCTACAAAATTTTAGATGTTGCGTTTGATTTGTTATGAATTGTGCCTTCACCCATAATCTAGCAAAGTAGCCGCAATTGTCAATTTTCGATATTCTGTTGTGATATTGACAATGTCTTATCGGTACCAAGTGGTGCATCCTAAAAACCCGCATTGTTCAGTAGCAGCAATCAGTATAATCCACACTGTTGTACTTTTACAGTTGCTATGTGTAGTTATAATTATTATTATTTTCTTTTTAAGTAAAACAAAAAAATATTTAAATAATTCTTACAAACGTAAATAAAAAAAATGCTTATAATTTGAAATATAATTTTTGTATTTATGAATTGTTTTGAATTTTAGTGTTACGTTTCTGAACTTAGTGTTACATATATAGATATACAATGTTTATATGTATAAAAATATTGTAGTCATCTTGTAAAACACCAGTGTAAAACGAGAATAGGAAAAAAGATTAAATAACAGAAATATGTTGCTAACAAAACGCATTTTGTTTAAAATTAGCACCCACCGTGATCCAATGTTTCACTATGTGCCGTAGCAACGTATCTACCCAAAGAAGATTTAAAAAGCATGCAGTTTACTGATAATTTTAATGAATAAAAGTAGTAACTTTTCAAATAGTGAACTCATTGCGAACAAGTTCTAGATATATACTCTTTCGTATACTTATAATGCATGATTTTATGACTGTTAGTTATTCACCAGCTATGCACAACTACTTAGATGTGTACGAATTGCAAGAGCGAATGAATATGAAACAGAGAAATGTTATTTATGGTATATTCTGGGGAACTGTTGTTGCATAATTTTAATTAAAAGAAGTAAAAATGGGCTAAGTACGACGATCAAAAGAATGTAACCGAACATTTTAAATTCGGAACAATTATACCTAATTAACTCAAATAAGATATGCATATAATTGAAATTGATATGATCTCAATCAAAGCTAAATTTAATATAAGGGGAGCTGGAGTAAATTGTAGATATATATATTATATATATCCAATATTATGGTTTTACTCAATTTTGCTAAAAAAAACGCAATCTCATTTTTCAAAATACTTTATTAACAATTTTACAATGCGTGTATACAGTATTTAACAGAAGCAGCAGCAATATGCATAAACGTTGACATTTGAGAGTTGGAAACCATGTTAATAGTTAGTGTACATCAATAGAGTCAGTTGTTAGCATGAGTTTAGTGTGATACGACCGGCATTTGGAAAGCGCATTAACCAACTCTGCGATAAATATTAAACCGGTTTTCTGGAATAATAAGTGCTCAGTGTAAATAAATATATTTAATTAAATGAAAAAATCATATAATCTGAAATTTTGTAACTAATTGTAAATAAAAGTGCTTCTATAATTTGCAAAAAAAATTTCTTTAATCAAAGTGATAGTTTCTCCATCAAGCTATATGTAGTACATATATCAGTACTCAAAAAAGTTCATTGTTGGTAAAAATAAAGGCATTATAGCTAGATACCTATGAAATAATATGTGTTATGAAAATTGCTATACCAATTGGTAGACATTTTAGAAAGTCTGAAATTTAACTTTCTTGGATTCTTTTGTAAAAACTTAATGTATGCACAAAAGCTTGAAGCTGTTGTGTTTAAGTGTATTATGTTCCACTTTGCTACAGCCGCAGTGCACCTTCATAACAGTATAAATTGGCTTGTATATGAATGTATTTTTACTTATGCCTACATATGTACATATATATAAAGACATACCTAACAAATAGAAAATTGTGTCAACTTTTTCTTCTTCGGCTGTAACTCTTTTTTTGTACAAACTATTAGTGTTGGCGTGTATGTTGGCATTGTAGAACGTTTTTTGGTAGTAGTTGCATTTAGCTTTTTATCTTCCTATTATAAACGAATATTTTTGAAATCTTTGCAATTCTGTGTTCTTCATATAGAGTTCAGTCTCAGATGAATACGCATATCTTTTATTTCATCAGTATATTTACATATATACATATGTCTTGAAATATGTATTTTATTCGTTTTGCAATTATCGAAGATAAACAATTGGAAACTTTTTGCTAAGGTTCTTCAACGAATTGCTTCGAAATTCAAAATTCAATAGCAAGAAATTCTATATTCAAAAAAATATCTCAGCGTTTGATATACAAAGCTTTACATACATTTTGGTTGATTCGCAGCAACGTCGGAGTAAAAAACACCTTGCTAATGCACCAAGTCTGTATCTTAATTAGGTAAAAATCGGAAATGTTAAAAATAAATGCAAAATGTGCGAAAATATGGAATAGCCATATATAGGATTTAGCGTATAAGGAGATTCGAGTTATAGAATAATACTTAGCATAAATCTCAGAGAAATAATATATTTTTTATTATAGTATATATTTACATAAACGATTTTTCTTTTCTTCACACATTAAAGTCATTGAACCAAGAGTACAAGTAGCCGAAACAGTCAAACGAGCTTTGTACGACGTGAAGATGAAACAAATTGTTTTGCATCTTGATCTATTGGAAATAATGTTTACCACTTGTGGGATGAGTGTGGGCTTCATTGTTGTCCACATTGTATTTGTATTAATTTTCACTTTCAATCTTGCCAAGGGCACTGCAAAACGTGTCATCTACTAATTTTCTGTCGGTTCTCGGAAAACATATTGATGCAATATTGGAGCTGTTCGTTGTAAGGATATTTAGTTTAGCTTCTAACACTACGAAGAACTGACTGAAATTTAAAAAGGGTATATAGCACCTAGAACATGTAAAGAATGTGACAAAACATGTATATTAAGTATCTTCTATTTTTATTAAAAGATGCTTATCTCCCTGTAAATAAACAATTCCCTTGGTTTATATAAATCCTGGCCGTTTTTTACCAAACGAATGAACATTTTTAATGAGTTTTGCATAGTCCACTCCTACTTCCGTACGAAAGCTTTTAATTCTAATCGTTAAGTAAAATATAAAATAAAGTTACTTATATTGAAACAAAATTTGAATTTTGATTGTAACTTGGTTGAATCTGATAATACATATAAGCTTTAAATTTTGTGCATAAAAATAATGTAATTATTTTATAATATCCTAAATTATATTTTTAGTTTCACGAATATGCAGACTGGTGGAAAACCCCATACATTATTTTGGGCCATCTTTTTTTGTTTGTTATGGTTAGTTATGACATCGAATGATGATTTGGTCGATTTCGATTTCGCAAACCTAAAGGAAATTGAATGGAATTACAACAGCGAGCGAATCAGAGATCAATTGCATAATGCTGCCGACGATAACTTTATTCAAACTTTTGTAACAATGAGCGACTTGGATGAACAAACCCAAATTCGCCCTTTTAATTTGAGAGAACATGTTTTGAGAAGTGCACTTTCGAAAGCCTTAACTAATGAGCAGTTACGCCAAAAGTTTGTGGAAGTTATGCCAATATTACGTGCCTTAACTCCTCAACAGCGATTAACATTGTCTGCGCTAATAACAGCACAAATAAATTTGAAGGGTGACCAAGGCCTAAAATTAGAACAGGTAAATTTTACCCACTAAGTTTCTTGTGGCTAATAATTTTATTATTTTGCTTACTATGACAGGTACGTGCGATGTTTGGAAATGACAAGAAACTGTTACTTCCAATTGTGTATGATATTGCAAATCTTGTGCGCAATTCAGCTCGAAAATATTTGATTTTGAATCTCGATTTGCCGAGCCAAAATAACCGGCCACCAGGTATAGAACGTCGCATGGAAGATGTATCTTCAACAGAGTTACTGGATGAAGAACAAATTAAGAAAACGGATGGTTTATCTATCGTTAGTAGACAAAATAAAAATGGAGTGTCATTAGAAGAATTTTTCAGTGAAACTGGTGAAGAAATGTTAGATCCGCAAAGTATAAATGAGGAATTGCAAGAAGTATTGAATACAACTTCACCCCCAATCGAACAATTTAGTGCTTTTAATTCGATTGAGAATTCACCGAAGCGAACTAAACGAATGGCTACAACATCAGAATTTGCCCATAAATTAATTCGCTCTGATTTACCTTCAATCGATGATGTCGATATTGGTCGTCGAATTACAGGGAATATTATACAACTGAACACCACAGCTTTTATTAATGCAAAAGACATAAGTAATGATTCTTTGTCTAGCAAGAATCGATCGAATAGTATTGAATATGTAGATATCGGAAATAGAACATTTACTGAAAATCAACTTCAGCATTCAAAATCGCATCAAGAAGTTGAGAATCTTGCTTTTGCTAGTTTAAAAGAAATAGAAGTAAATCTACAAAACAACAATGAATCTATGATAAATGGGTTGGACGAGATTTTACCCATTCCTGAAGAGCTAATTGCAGGTCCACGATACCGCATTGCAGGCAATAAAAAGCACCTCAGTCGGTCTAAACCAACAACTACGAAACGGAAACGAGGCCAAGTTTCGCACATGCGTTCCAATATAGAAGGACTACATAATGGAGGAAGGAGTAATAACGGTGTTTTGCCACCCCAGAAATGTGAGAGGTTCACTTCTTCTATGTGTATTCGAACTGAGGACTATCCACTGTAAGCTTTAATTCTTTAATGTAAATTTAGCTAATTCACATATACTAATACATATAACTAGTTTGTAGCGTGGCTATAAATATCAACCATTCTTACAAATATCTTAAGATTCAACATTGTTATAAGGTTTCTGGTTCAATTGGATTTTCTTTTTATAGTTTAAAATTTAGTCTTCAAATTTTAAATTAGTATTTGTTCATAATTATATAACATGGTCGAATACAATATCAGAGATCTAATAATGGGTAGCATTCGACGACATAAAAACGCTATGGTCGCTTTGTGGGCCGATTATCATGACAAGTATGCCCAGTTGGATGCAACTGATGACATTGACGACATTTCTATCCGTCGGTTAGTATAATTTTAATAAAAAAATTCTAAATTTTCATTATAAATGAAATTAACTTCAGTAAAGAAAACGAAGCTAATGGAGGTGGAATGTGTCAGAGTGTTGTTCGGTATGCGCGTCCTCAAAAGGCTCGTTCCGCATCTGGCGAATGGAAATATATAGTTAATACCGGCCAGCATACTCAAACGCTCAGATTGGAGAAATGCATGTAAGTACTTAAAATATCTCTTTGTTGTTTAAAAAGGCATACGATTTTTTATGCATTTTTTCAAACAGTGCATCAGAAGAGAGTTGCTCCTATTTGGCTCATAGCTATCGTTCTCATTGCACTCAGATCTATAATTACCATCGCCTGCTTAGTTGGGATAGAACACGTGGCTTACATGTGGATATATTCAAAGTACCTACTTGCTGCTCTTGTCAGATAGATGGATTGCGGCATCATTTTCCGTTAAACGCAGATACCAAAACAAGACAGTTTACACCCGCTTTAAACTCAGATATTTATTCGACTATTAATGAAGAATTCAATTATAATGACGAACAGGATGAGGATGATTTAAACTACCAACTTAATAATGGTCTTAAAGGAAATCATAAAAAGTATGATAACAATGAGTTAATGTTAGATACTCGATCTAAACTTCAATCACCGAATCCAACATTGGGATCATATCTCATCCCCCCTGGTGGCGAAGAAGAATATGATTTCATTGATTATAAGCAAGATCTCCAACACAAACATAAGAATTTTGGCCATACTTTGAGTACATCAGGCACTACGAAAAATATAATAAGAAATTCGCAACGTAGGCAGCCACATAAAAGACTGGGTCCAGCTAATACTTTCAATCAAGAGCGTGTAGATTTGGATATTGCACCAAGTGAGCTGCATCAGAAGCAAGAGGTAAACTTTCCTGCCAGCTCTTTGGCCAATTTTAATAAGCGAACTCCACAAAAACGGCAACGTATTCATTCTGTGCTCTATACAGCTCCAACTAGCATCTCACCCATTTTTACTGCAGTCGCTGGTACATTCACACCTACTGACATCGTTAAATCTCCCATTACAGGGGAAGACCCAACTTCTTCAACAACGACCATTCAACACCGAGTCGTTGAAAGTATCAACAATACTGCCACCAATGCCCATCAAACGTCAGGGCCGAACTCGTTCTATAACGGTACTCAGCAAAAACAAAGTAATTACAGCTCCAACAGCAAGGTTAACAGACATTACCAATTTCTTGGCAATGTCGAGCAGAACTCCATATCAAGATTTCGCTCAGAAGCACGCCCCATTATTACATCAACCGCTAGAACAAGAAAAAGGTCAAAGCCATCAACAGCGGGCCACCCAAATCAGTGGAGCTTTTCGCAGAATGAACAACCGACTTCCACGCGATCTCCACATGTTCCTTCATTCCATGTAAACTCTATTCATAATACTCAATCTAACTCAACCGACTTTAGTAATTCAGCAGACACTTCTCAAATATCATCTGAGCCCGGTGTAAAAAGAATAAACTATAGCTATCATCCTATTATTGACTTTTTCGAAAACCAAAAGTACTCCACCGTCGTGGCAACAGTAAAAACAATAGGTGAACAGAGAAAAATTGATGATAGTAGTGAAGGACAAATATATCCTCATAAGATAATGAAAGAACGAACACCACTTGTATCGGAAAACTTAGGCGCTAACTCAAGAAATAGAGAAAGTGGGCTGAGTTTGCCTGACAGAACCGGAAACACTGTAGATATGGTCAACAGACTTCATATGGATGACAATACCTGGCATCCGGTTCTAATAAAAATGAAAGATCATTCGTATTAGAAAAATATTTCGTATTTATAGAATTTTCACGATATGTGAGTATTGATTATATAATATAATTTATTTTTATATTTATATAGTTTCATTAATTTAATCCGCGTATTTATTAAACTATCGAAAGCGAGCTCTCTCGTAGGAATGCATAGCATATATCCATATATGTAAATATTTGGATTTTTTAAAAGCAATAATGACCAATAGAAATAAGCATATGTTGTAGTTTAAGTAAACTCATATTTGAAAGAAAATTATGGAGAGTTTTTCTTAATTAGTAACTATTTAATGAGGAACTCTTATACACACATGTATGTAAACCTACAATTAGTGGAAAAGAAGATGAAATAAAAATAGGAATAGGAATAATATTTGTGAGTATATATAAACAATACGAAGACATTAATCGTTGGTCAAAGCCTGTTTCATCCGTTTATAAATATTTTAAATTTAACTGAAATAAGTGACTAAAGGTTGCTATAAATTATGGATTAAAGATATTTGTGTACTCAAAACTATTACCATCATTATTTTTGACTATTGTTAATTTCCACAGAAATAAAATACACTAATTAGAAGAACGGAAATTGTTATTAGGACGTACCAGGGTTCGGGGAAAATATGGTAAAATAAAAATAACATATTTGACATTCATGCAGAAAAACAGATATCACTATAAAATCAAAGGCCGATTTGTGTAATTTCCGATCACAGATCCAGATTACATTGGCAGTGGCTAAGATGATATGTTCCCTTAATTTCGTTAAAATACCCAAACTGTAACCAGATGGGCCACGCCTGATTTGGATGCAATCCTATCGTATTATCTCTACGGTAAAATTTATTGAATTTTTGTTCAGACAGTTATCTCACTTAAAATATTTTTAAACATAACCTTTTTCCTTGTAAAGGGAGTAGTTATTATTTAATTTTCAAATATCTTTACACCACAGTTTATCCTACTGTGATACTCTGTAGAAAGTTTGAGTATTTAAGGTTGACTAACTTATCTCATCACTACAGTTATCGTTAGGAAGTTAAAATGCACGGAGGGAAAGACATTCGGAATTTAAATGGCTTGTCGTACTGACCATATATATATATATATATATATATCTTTTTATCTAAGTATTTCAATTGATGTTTTTGTTACAAACAATTATTATGTCAACAAAACTTCCTTACTCGTTAGTGGCACTGCTGCATATGAATTTACTGGCATACCACCGTGCTTGTTTAATTTGAATGGTTGATAAAAAAATTGATTTGCGGTGAGAAACCTATTCCGCTTTCATAAAGTTGGACGGTGTTTAAATAAAATAATATTTTTTCTCAACTTCCCAAACTCTGTTTTTTACCCATTTAACTACCCAAATGTCTATTTCCAGTTGTTACATAGAAAAGATATGTATAAGGAATTTTGTTTATAAAATATCTGTATAGGTAAAACTTTTCACAGTTGAAGTGTAACCAATGTACAGTGCGGTTGACAATGTATCGTGAAAGTGAATAAAGATGTATATAGCCATGAAATGTGCAATTGGAATACTTGCGCTAAGCATTTGGTTTTTCAAAGTGTGTATTGCTATCAAATTGAAAGGGTTGTCACTTGGAATGCTATCTGACAATGTACCATTTCATCCACAAGGTAGTAAATTGGTACATATTGCAAATAGTGTGATGCATATAATTCTGCGTTTCCAAACATTTCAATTGTTAATAAAAATTATTTATCGAGCAGGCATTCAACAAGCACGGCCCATTTGGCTACAGTCAATGAACCCCGTATCAATACCAGAGTTAATGAAAGTTTCCACTCTAACAAATGGTGCAACAAGTAGCAAGTGGCCAAAGAAAGTGAACGAAGTAAAAAAACAGCTGGCAGGCACTATACTAAACCAGAAAGTACAAATGCAAACACACAAACGTCTTCATAATAAACTTGTAAGTGATTCAAACACAACGGGTTTATTATTATTAAAGACTCAGCTCCAATATATGCCAATGTTGATGGCATCCACTACACTGCCGCTCGAAATCTTAGCGTCAGTTCGTAAAAACAAGACGCTACTTGATCAGCAAAAGCAACGGGCAAGACACCGGCACAAAAATTTTATAACCCATACTGTAGTTATGAAGACGGCTAACAAACAAAACAAGTTTCGACGAGGCAATGATCATAAAAACTTGTCGCAGAAATTGCGAAGAAATCGCGTACGTCGTGAATTACAGGAAGCGTCCAACTCCAAAGGGGAACAAAGAAATAAAAAACAACCATCTACCTCGAAGTTAGTCGATAATGCAAATTTGATTATTCGAAAAGGGACTTTGTTGTTATTGCACTTGGATCATCTATTGAAGGATGCCGATTTTTTTTTACGTAATAAAGAAGATATGATAAACTGGAATTCAAATTGCAATATGAAAAGCTCAAAAATGCAAAAGTTCCCGCAGAATGAGTTAAAAAACTTACCCTCCAAAACTCAAGAAGAAAATGAAAGAAAAAGAGATTGTTATATTTTAAGAGTCAATTGTACGAAACAACCTGATCGGAAAGCGGATGATAGGCTTCTCTATGAAGATGTCATAGCAAACATCAGAAATATGCAACATACACAAATTATCAATTAAAGGAAAAGGAGCAGAAATAAGAGATTCAAGTTAGGAGTATTAGTATAATACTTGGCGAAATTATCATTTTATTTCAGCTTTTATTAGACTTATATGTATATAATAGTAATGGGAATTGTAGTTCCAACTATTGTACCTTTTTACTGAAATCTAAACATCTA